CTCCGTGGCACCGACGAGGATCCTGAAAACTTTGGGTAGACTTTTAACTACAAATTTTGCCTGGCAGCGCCGTTAGGCTACTTTTTTTTATTTCCAACTGCGAAGGGATTTTTTTAACATGCACAACAATACACACGGGTGTCCAATTTTACTACCCAGAGACCAGGGGAAATTACTAGATGTCCACGTGAAAAAATCTCAGCCTGAACCCGGGACCTCCAGCCCTTGAGGCGGATGCCATGCTTCGAGACCACTCAGCCCCTCTTTTGGTTTGGTGCTGAATTGTTCAATCTCCATGTTTTGGAGGAAGAGGGCCTGCTTCAGGGTCAGTTGGATGTCAGAGAACTGTTGCACATTCACCATTCTAATCCATCATGGCAAATGTTTGTTTGGGATTGTTCTTTCTGTGCTCTTGATATGATGATAATGTCGAAGGCATTTTTCTGAAAATATAAAGATATGATAAAGATATGCTGAAAGTTTAAAAATATAAAATACTGACTGGCTGAAAAATATATTTTCAAATTTAACAGATGATCAAAATAATTTTTTTGGGGTTAAAATAGATCAAATAATGAAAAATAGTTATACAAAATTAAGGCTAAAAATTGACTTAAAAAATATATGATTGATTAGTCCAGTACTAGGGTGAGAAGTGGGGACAGAATGAATCATTGTAAAAGTGATATATGAGTACATGAGGAAGTGGAGATGGAATAAAACACACTGTGTGAGGGCTTTCATAGTATCAGATAATGGTAGTGGGATGTTGTAACAAGTCAGAGTGAGGGAATATGGAGATAGGATAACAGATGACATTTCAAAGTGTATACTAAAATGGAAATATGATAAAATATGACATCTCAGAGTGCCCAGAATTGAGACAAAAGATGATATCTCAGTTTTCAGAATGGAGATACAATAAAAGATGACATCTCGGAGTGTCCAAATTGGAGATAGGATAAAAGATAACATCTCAGTTTCCAAAAAAGAGATATGATAATATATGCATCTCAGTGTCCAAAATGGAGATATCAAATATGACATCTTGGTGTCCAAAATTGAGATATGATCAAATATGACATCTTGATGTCCAAAATGGAGATATGATCAAATATGACATCTTGGCGTCCAAAATGAAAATAAAATAAAAGGTAACATCTGTGTCCAAAATGGAGACACAATAAAATATGACAACTCAGAGTGTTCAAAATGGAGATAGGATAAAAGATGACAACTCTGTGTTTAAAGTGGAGAAAAGATAAAAAAATGTAACATCTCAATGTCCTAAATGGCGGTAGGGGGAAAAAGTATGAAATCACGGCATGTTCGAAATGGAGATAAAATAAAAGATAACATTTCAGAGTGTCCAACATGGAGATACGATTAAATATGACATCTCAGAGTGTCTAAGATCAAGATAGGATAAAATGTGACAACCAAAGAGTGTCCAAAATGGAGATAACATATGAGTGGCCGAAAAAGAGATCGGTACAAATGTGACATCCCAGGGTGTCCAGAATAGAAATAAGATAAAATATGGCATCTCGGGGTGTCAAAAATGGAGATATGATAAAAAATGACATCTCAGAGTGTCCAAAATATAGATATGATAAAAGATGACATCTCAGTCTCCAAAATGGAGAAAGGATAAAAGATGACATCTTAGAGTGTCCAAAATTGAGATATGTGAAAAGGTGATAATATCTCAGTGTTGAACATGGAGTAGGATAGAATGTAGCTGAAAGTGGAGATTGGATAAAGACGACTGTTCAAAGGAGACATATCCACCACACGTGGACACATTTACCACAATAAATGAATGACATAAAAGATGTTTAAAACATCAAATCTTATAATAAGAAGCACAAATAACATACACATTGTTTTTATTTATATCTCTTCTGAGACATTCATTTTCAAATTTAACATAATCAGTTAGACAAGCTCATAAGATGTTTTTAAAGGAGCGATGGCCAAATGGTTAGGATGCTCGGCCAATGCGGGTGACCTGGGGTTAAATCCTTGGTAAGATGATAGATGTTTTTTTGATTGCCCCACGCACACAATCCTAACCTGCACAGTTCATATTGTATCTTAGACATGCAGCCTTCAAATCTTCAGGCTCAGTCTTCCCTTTATGTCTGTCCTACACTGCACTAAACAAGTGGCACAGACAGACAGTTTTTAGATGCTGGTAATCTTGCTTACAAACAGTGATAAATGGTATCTCCCATGAGTGACAAGCAGACCACTTACCGTTGATTGAGACATAACACTTACACAGTAAAGCAAGGCAAACTACTGAACATACAATGGCCCAGAACACCCCCCCCCCCCCCTTTCCCCCGGGAGCTCAATCAATGAATTCTGGGTTAATTTGGGAGGTCCTGGCATCATATGCAGCTAAAGTTTTAGTCAGTGGTAAATGGTGAAGCGATAGAAGAATTGTACTCTATTCCACTAAATGTAATTGTTATATTTACTGTTTGCTTACTGTAATTAATATTTCCTTTGTAAAAAAAAACTTAATTTCTTGTGAAAATGACTATTGCTTTATTAATAATTGAATGTTAACTGTTGTGTGTCTGTTTGGTGTATATTGAATCTAAAAAGCAAAATGTCTTTTATTTAATGTTTTTTATGGTGTTGTGCAATAATAGTGGAGCAAGTCATTGTGAGAATTACAAAGTTACAGATAATGCTTGTATTTGAATATGTGTGTGTATATGTAGGAGAGAGAGAGAGAGAGAGAGAGAGAGAGAGAGAGAGAGAGAGAGAGAGAGAGAGAGAGAGAGAGAGAGAGAGAGAGAGAGAGAGAGAGAGAGAGAGAGAGAGAGAGAGAGAGAGAGAGAGAGAGAGAGAGAGAGAGAGAGAGAGAGAGGGAGGGGGGGAGTTAGTTTAAGCACTAATTAATAATGCTCTATAATGTACCACATGAGTATTTTGTCTGAATTTGCTGAACAATTATGTTCTGTATAATTAGATATAGGAGACATGGTTCATCATCATCATCATGTAGCAGGTCCTTTGCAGAACGTCGCTTTCATCACAGTCTGCCTGAAAGAAACTCAGTCTCTCGCCAGTTCTCCCGCCTCATGCACTTTCACACTCAAGGAGTCACTTATATCCTGTGCCCATCTTCGTGTCAGTCGGCCCCTGCCCCTCCTTCCTGGTATCATGCCTTCTGCTATAATTTTTTCCAGTCCGTCGTGGCGCTTGAAATGACCACAGTATTTCAGCTTCTGAGAAAGGTTGCTGTTTATCAGCCAATCTTCCTTGATGTTTACATCTTTTAAGATGTCAAGAGGCATGGTTGCATACTAGATATACACTTGCTGCCGGTTCCAGGATCCACAGGTCAAATCTGACCAAGGCCGATGTTTTTGTCTTTTTTCCAAAATTGACCTTGGCTCTCAGGTTGACCCAGCTATAAAATGTCCTTGAAAGTTAAGGGGGCCGACGTGATGGTGACCATATCATCATCTAGTACTTGAAAGTTGAGGGGGCCGACGTGATGGTGACCATATCATCATCTAGTACTTGAAAGTTAAGGGGGCCGACGTGATGGTGACCATATCATCATCTAGTACTTGAAAGTTGAGGGGGCTGACGTGATGGTGACCATATCATCATCTAGTACTTGAAAGTTAAGGGGGCCGACTTGATGGTGACCATATCATCATCTAGTACTTGAAAGTTGAGGGGGCCGACGTGATGGTGACCATATCATCATCTAGTACTTGAAAGTTGAGGGGGCCGACGTGATGGTGACCATATCATCATCTAGTACTTGAAAGTTAAGGGGGCCGACGTGATGGTGACCATATCATCATCATCTAGTACTTGAAAGTTGAGGGGGCCGACGTGATGGTGACCATATCATCATCTAGTACTTGAAAGTTAAGGGGGCCGACGTGATGGTGACCATATCATCATCTAGTACTTGAAAGTTAAGGGGGCCGACGTGATGGTGACCGTATCATCATCTAGTACTTGAAAGTTGAGGGGGCCGACGTGATGGTGACCATATCATCATCTAGTACTTGAAAGTTGAGGGGGCCGACGTGATGGTGACCATATCATCATCATCTAGTACTTGAAAGTTGAGGGGGCCGACGTGATGGTGACCATATCATCATCTAGTACTTGAAAGTTAAGGGGGCCGACGTGATGGTGACCACATCATCATCATCTAGTACCACTGGTAAAATCCCAGTTTGGGTTCTGAGGCCCTTGAGGGGGCTGGCAATAATAAACCCACTGCATTCCTGACAAGCATGTCCTAAAAGTGAGTGACTAATTAGGGGTGTTTTCTTTAAACTCTTGTGAGTACATCTGCCTGCTGAGAAGCAGGGAATCACCAGTCTGCATACAGAAAAGCCACATCTGTGAAACAGATGTGCACGCAAAACTCTGGTCCTGGAAGAAAGCCCATTTTGCTGAAATCAGAGATGTTGGACTGACAGGTGCAGAAATCACAACCTGGCTGTAAATGTGATCACAACTTGCTACCAAATCACAACCTGGCTGTAAATGTGATCACAACTTGCTACCAACTTGTTAAGGATTAACACAGAAGAAGAAGAATATAAAATAAAAAGTAATCAAGTTTTCTTTATTTATTTATTTATCACAGTGGCATGTAAATTGTAATTTAGTTTTTCCCTTTAAAAATGTTGCCTTCCACTATTCATTGGAAGAGTTTTATCATAGCCACTGTAGTAATGCTCATCCTTTAAATATTGATACCACGTTGTGTTGTGGTCTGTAGGGCGGTTTTTGTAGCAGTTACTTACTTAGTTGATCCGCAAAACTCAGACCCTGGCACAAAGTCAAAATGGATGAACAACAGGACTTGCACGCGGTGAACAAAGAAGAAGATATGAATATATCTTGAAAACTGTTGTGTATATTAATTATAATATGTATTGGGTAACTTGATAAGCTGGTGTTTCACTGTTTTAGTCATCCGTTACTTGATCTCCTGTCTTTTGCAGCCATTTATGTCACCAAGATATCCAGGTAGTCCCAGAGTACCCATTCGAATGACGAATCAAGTAGATTTTAATACAGGGGTATGTTGTCTGTTTTGTTGTAAAACGATTGTGCTATGTTGTTACTGTTGGGTTGTCGTATGTGGTATCACTGCTGATCAGCTGAAAATTGATTTCAGAACATAAATTATGTTCTGTTCAAACATGTATTTTTTTTAAAGTCAGTGTTTATAAATGCTATAGCAATTAGGTCAGTTTTATGTACATATCTGTGTGTGGGTGTGCGTGGTTGTTGTTTTGTTTTTGTTTTTTAATGAGTGTGTGTGACACACACTAATGGATGGGATGGTTAAACTGGTTGTCTCACACTCTGAAAGTCATGGGTTTATTACACGGCCTACATTGTTTTGTTCATAAGCGATATTTTTATAAAGACACCCCCCCCCCCTTCCTCCATTTTAACCATCACTAAACTAGATCAAGAGTCAACAGATCATAGTTTGGACATGTTTGAAGACTAGACTATCACCAGATAGTGCATGCAACACAGAGAGCCCAGTCAGACAGTGGAAGTAGTGCTAGAGGTCCGACCATATAGGCGGAATATCGGAGGCTGTCAATCAATGCCAGCATCTGTGTGGCACATGTGAATGCTCACACTCGATGCCTCTTTAAACCCAGATGCTGAAAGGCAGAGCAAAGCTAAAGAAGAAGCCCTTTATCGTCATATAGCTCTGGTCATTAAAATATATATCTTTACCTGTACTGTTTAATGTTGGTTCTAGAACGTTTGGTCAAAATCTATTTAAAACTGCAAATTTTGTGTTTAAACTTTACTTGTTATTTTTAAGAATACAACTTAGAAAATTTTATGATGATGATTTTAAGAGTAACTACCATGGTAAGATTTATTTTTTGTTTTTCATTTGTAAATTCACATATTGTGTGCGTGCGTGCGTGTGTGTGTATATATATATATATATATATATATATATATATATATATATATATATATATATATATATATATATATATATATATATATATATATTGGATATGTGTAGCTACTGAATATGTTATAAATATTTCATGTTTTTTTAAAATGGAAGTCATGGTAATGTGATGGGTAAAAGTTCACCTCCTGGCATGATACTCACAAGTTCAAACCCGCATTGAGGCAATGACTTTGACACCCTGGTGGACCCAACCTAAATCTATAAGAATATACATGCAGATATATCAGTGTTTCATATGGCATTGTGAGGAACTGTCGCCAGCTTCCCTCTTCTTCCCTCACTCATGCCTCCCTTATTGCACCCATTTCAAAAGGCTTGTAAACCACAAAGACACATGCAGAAAACTCAAACCACTGTTAGGAAATCGGCAGTGATACTGACTTTTACGCGGTTCATATTTAATAATCACATGCAGAAAAGTAAGAGTTAAGGAAGAACACACACACACAAAAATCATCGACTAACTGAAGTATCTTGTCATACTTTCTTAATGACTTGATCAACTGGTCAGTAAAATCCTGTGATCACAACCATCATAGGGAATGCAGTGATTCTCTATTTCTGTCTCTTGCTTTGATTCCACACTCTGACTGAAAGCTGTTAGACCACATCTGGTTAATACGCCATCCTGCTTGTATACAGCCCTGAAAATATAAAATTACTTGGATCAAAAAGTCAGAAAAGCAGTAGTCTCTGGAGCAGAAACAGTTGCTGAAGTCTTCTTCTGCATTTATCCAAGGACATGCATGTGTTATGTCTGTTTAACATGACTGCAATTTTTATACCTTTTGGCCAACACATCCAACTTTTTTAAGAATTTTTGTTGCCTGGGTTAATCTTCCAGGAGATGCTGGAGCAACTGTCAGTCAAAACACATTGTTTAGGATAGGCAGTCAGTACAATCTGCTGATGTTAAAGTCTTCAGTACACACCTGAATGTCATTCTTTCAGGCTGGAGCCCTGGAGAGGAAGAAATAATTTAAAAAAAAATATATATATATAGTGAGGCATTCGAGGATATTCTAAGGCAGTCTTCCCATTTGGGACCATTTTTTTTGTAATTATAGGCTGTCAGAATTCACTATTGCACAGGATCACCAGAACTACATAATATTAAAGTCCATTTATATCTGCAACTATCAGTATTTCAGGGTTGTTAAGTGGTCTCTGATATTGTTTACAAAAGAGGTTCAATTTTATAATGCAGCCCTTGTGGCGATTCTAATATAAATTTACTCTTAAAAAAAAAAAAAAGGCTTAAAAAGTGTGTGGTCTGTGGCAGAACTTTGAAAATAAAAGGGGTCAAATTGGGAGCCACTGCCCTAAGGAATGTGGGTCAGTTCCACAATAATCTCCCCACCCAAACTAGGTCACATCCATTCATAACTTTTAAAAATGTGTCTGCTGTCCAGGGGGTTACGAGTTGCTGTTATGTTGTTTCCTTTCTGGCTTGTCTTGAATTTACATTTTTCTTCAGAGAAAGAGAATACCTGTGACATAGGTTGCAGCACTCTCTAGGGGGGTTATGTGTTAGACCCAGTTTTTAAATGTTTTTGTAGTGTTAAAAGCGCTGGCGTGCTTAAACATACAACACACGATATCAGCGGCATTGCCGAACAACCCTTCCCCCCTCCCCCCAGCAATGTACGAAGATCGGGTGACTGAAGGTCAACCAATAAGAATTGAGCTAGTGTGTAGCGTGGGGAAATTATCGTGGAACTGACCGGAATGTGAATGTGAAGATGCCCAGGACAAACAGTCATAACTATTTGCTGATCTTTTCAGCCGCCTGGTCCTGGTGGTGGACAGATGCCTATGCCAAACAGTATGGATCCTCGGCCAGGTAAGCTGTGGTATGAGTCATGTTGCTGCCAACTTATACGTTATTTCTCATGATTGTAGGTTTGTTATCCGCTCATTGTTATATAAAGAGAACTTTGTTACTGCCACAGTGGAAGCTGGCTGCTATGTACCCACTGCTGACTATAGGAATATTACATAGTAAGGCACCAATTTCTTTCTTCTTAAGTGCAACTCTTGTACCACTGCCTAAAAACTAAATTTCTTTTTTTTTTCTCCTGAACCCACCACAGGAATCGAACCCTGGTAAATATTGGGGATGGCACTATGAAAGATTTCACTTAATCTCTAAATGACAGAGTCCCATGATTATAAATAATATAATTGGAGTGTAATTATCTCCCTTTCACTGCTAAGAATGCTCACAATTAAATCCAAGAATACTCAAAATTAAAAACAAGAAAGCTCAAAATTAAAAGCAAGAAAGCTGACAGCTAGAACAATGATGGCATAATGTTTGAGTTTGTCACTTTTATTTAAAATGTGTGTCTAATAATGGTACACAGGCAGTGTTGATTGATATGAAGGGGAAGGCAAAAAAAAACAAAAAACCTGGAAGGCCTAGCCATGGATGGGGGGTGAGACAAGTACACTGACCTGGTCATTTATTCTGGTCATCATTCAAGATGGTAAAAACATGACAGCCTATTCTAATCAGCAATGCTCATGATGATGAAGATGGTATAGAAAAGCATTGTGTTGTGGACAGTTGGATTATAATGATGGTATTCGGGACCATTTTGTAGTGGGTTGTATTTATAATGATGGTGTATGGACTCATTTTGTTATGGAAGGTTGTGTTTATATGGTATTTAGAAGAACCATTGTATTGTGGAACTTATATTATAATGATGGTATATGGAGCCATGTTATTGTGAGGGTGTTGTATTTGTAATGATGGTACATGGAACCATGTTGCTGTGGAAAGTTGTGTTTTTCATGCTGGTATACAGATGTCACGCATGACAAAAGTTACAGAATAAAGTGTAAATGCTGTATACCGCATGCTGTTTGTATTTTACAATTTTTTTTTTTTTTGAGTGATGATTTGCCTACAGTATATAGATTGAATGACAAGGACCAAGACTAACTTATTGTGAACTAATCATGTCTTTTCTTTCATCTGTTATTCTGAAATAAGACTCCTGTCTCGCTGAAACTTCATTTATCTGTTTAAATTATGGGCTACCTAGAAAACATCCCAAAGGTCTACCAACAAATATTTGATGCTTTATTAATATCCTACCCCAAACGGGGGAAATCCACAGGTCACCGGACAGTCTAATATTTCAGGGAGTGGTAGATAGGCTGCATGCAGTTGTGGAACCTAGGCTGCATGCAGTTGTGGAACCTAGGCTGTACTCTCTCGTGGGACGAAGGTGGGTTGGAGTTGGGGCCAGTTCTAGATGTTTTGGGGTTGTTAAAAGCACCAGAAAGCTGGAAAACCTAGTCTTACCACCCTCTAAAATGTTGGACTGTCCTGTTGTCATCTGGAGTAGGATATTAATAAAGCACCAAATATTAAAAAAAAAAAAAAACTTGTTTAAGGATTTTAAAAGTGAAAAAAAAAAAACAACAACAACAACAAAAAAACTAGAATTTAACCTGAAAAACAGCTGCCACTATAGCTCACATTAAGTCAACAAAATATGGTTTCAATCTTGCAATGTTTTTTCTTGAACCTATACCACTTGTATATAGCAGCTGCTTACAATAATCATTCATTACTGAGTTGACTGGTTTTGATTTCTCTGGAAAACTCGCTGCGGGGACTGTTGGTGAAGTCCAGTGTATTGATGTTTCAGTTGTCTCAGCCCTAAACAAATTATTACCAGAATATGATTGGTGAAGAGACTTGCCTGCTGCTTCCATACAGCAACAGTATCATCACCATGGGGACTGTGTTGCATTGTTCTCCTTTCTTTCTGAAAGCTCAGAAAGCAGCATGGCACCAGAGAGTGGCTGGCATCTCATATCTGTGGAAAGGCATATTGTAGGATGTAATGAAGACAGGACACAGCATAACACTCCCTGACTGGCTGATAGAAGACCTTGGTAATGTTTTACTGAAGAGTGTAGGTGTTTCATCATCATCCTGCAGACCAGTGTCCAAAAGGACACTGAATTAGGTAAAAACACCATACACTGAGTTGCTTTTGTGATTAAGTAATAGTTCCCGTGCAGGTTCTGTGGCCCTGTGATGCAATCAAGCATCTCATAACAGGCGACTGACTACTCAGCTGTGTTTCTTCAGCAGTATTAATATGAACAAGCAAGATCTGTAAAATGGATGTGCTTGCAAAACTCTAGTAAAAGATGAAAGTCCAGCTGTAGACGAACAGCCAGAATTCTCAGCCAGAGTTTAGAGTTGGTGAAAACTAAGAAGCAGAAGAAGTTACACTATCACGGCAGCAGCGCAGTTGCATTTTTGTCTCTTTGCAAATCAAGTGTTTGAATAATACAATTCTGAAAATATCAAGACTAGCGCCATGAAGACATTCTTCTGCTTTATGGATGCAGGAATTGTTTATGAGCTCTGTCTGAAATAAGATCAAATGATAATCATGAAAATATCCACATGAACACCTTGAAAACACGAAAAACTACTTTATTAATGTATGAATTGTTTTTGGGCTCTGCATGGATCCAGATAAAATGCGAATCCTCTTTCTGAAATAAGAAAAAATTATAATCTATGTTTTAACTGTCTGTTGCTGGTATAGGCACATTTTAGGGCTAAACCCTTGACTGTCTGATTACTACAAGGAAGATATTAATTAAAACATCCATTACTGTCTGTTGCTGGTATAGGCACATTTTAGGGCTAAACCCTTGACTGTCTGATTACTACAAGGAAGATATTAATTAAAACATCCATTGTGTATGTGTAAATTACCACAAGAAGTTAACAGCAGAGCTCTTTGTTTCCTTCTGTGTTTGCCTGTAAAAAGGGAGTTTGGCACACTGTGTTATAACGTTTTAGATATCTGCCATTTCAACCCAACATGCAGTTTCGGCAGAACCATTATTTAGTCAGTAGCCTTTTATGACATGCTTGCATACACACACACAGCGAGAGAGAGAGAGAGAGAGAGAGAGAGAGAGAGAGAGAGAGAGAGGAAGGAGAGATCGGGGTTTAAAACAAAATTATGTGTAGAAACGATGGTAACTGGTGTTGTTTATCTACATTACTGTCGGTGAACCGCAGTTTAACTGGTGCTTTATTAATATTCTACTCCAAACAGGGGAAATCCACAGGTCACGGGACAGTCTAATACTTCAGGGGGTGGTAGATAGGCTGCATGCAGTCGTGGGACCTAGGCTGTCCTCTGTCGTGGGGCGAAGGTGGGTTGGGGTTAGAGCCAGTTCTAGATGTTTTGGGGTAGTTAAAAGCATCAGAAAGCCGGGAATCCCAGACTTACCACCCTATAAAATGTTGGACTGTCATCTGACGTCATCTGGTTGTAGCATATTAATAAAGAACCGTTAAACTTCAGACAGCAAATACTGCAGACCTCGTGACAATTCAGAAACTACCGTTTCTGTAGCAGTTACATTTATAGAAAATTAGCCCAGATGTAGTATTTTAAAAAATACAGCCAACATTTATCATTGCTGACAATATGCCGTCTCTACCATGAATGTTAGCTGCAGTGGTTATGAGCATCCACCGTTGTCTTCTGTAGGCATGCTAAGTGGTGATGCGCAATCTCTTTCGCGGCAATACCATTGTCCGTTAGTGCAGAGAACGGGGGGAATGACTGCTGCAGTCGGGTCTTATATCTAAGACTGGATATACTGGATTTTGTTAGCAGCAACAAAACAGACTGGTCCCATTTTTGCCATCCGATAGTTAGTTGTTTATCGTTCACAGGCAATTATTAATTCCCCACCGCACTGCACCGCGCTATACATGTTGACTTACTTCGTAACTATTATGTCATGCCCCATTATAACTGTGCTTTGTTTGTGGCTATACGTTTGAACGGGGTTTCCGGGATTTGTGCCGGCTTGATTCTCATCCTTGAGATGTTAATTCTATCTACTGCAATCCTGGAGGGGAGAACTCTTTTCTCATACACACACACGTATTTATGACCTATACTAACTAATATCACTGGTGCCGTAGCACCTATGACACAACTCACAACCAAGCTATAAATACAATGCTAACCGAATTAATCAACGTTATTGAGTTTTACCCCTTCCCTCAAATATCAGTCAGTTCGTTTGGTCTTGCTGCAGTAGCCTCTAATTGTGTAGTAATTTATGACATAAAATCGCGCACTCTTCTGAACTGATGGTTTGTCAGGAGGATTGAAACCATCTTGTAAATGACGGAAGGGCGGCGTGTTTCGGCTCTCATTGCTTCAGATATTCCGTTTGTCGTAGTCTGTGATTTCGTGCGCCGTCACGTTTGCAGAAGGGAGATAATCATAACCAAGGCCTGCGGATTGTGTGTGATAACGTCCCTTGTTTACAGTTCTTGTTAAAGAGTCGCGACCTTAAAGGAGAAATGATAGAAGGAAGGGGGGACGAGAGAAGGGGAGAAAAAGAATAAATTGTTAATGTAAGGATTGATTGTCGGATCGGAATATATATTATATTGCCTGTTTAATATTCGTTTTTACGATTCTTTCTTTAATAAACAATGTATTATTATCTTGTGGGCGCGGCCAGGCTTGGGAAGATGAAATGCAAGTCCAGTAGACTGTGTCTAACGTCTGTCGTTATTTGGTTATGCATAATTTATATCGAACATGTGGCATAATAAATGGGTTATGTTGTTTTGATGATGCAGGAGGGGTATTGATAAGCAGGACGAATTTAGCAGGAGGAGGAGGAGGGGGTTAGTTGAGGGCAAAATATAGCCAAGGGATAGAGTGTAATGGGTTAACCAGTTAACACTTAAAAAAAAAAAAAAACCACACACACACACACACATATATAGAAAGGGGCTGATTAAAATTTTAGGATAGTTAA